AAACAATAAAACCAGTCCCAAATATATTTGCAATCAGGAAATAACAGAATCATCCTGTAATAATAGAGCTTATAACAGGCTTTCATTAAACTTGAAAAAAACCAAATTCATTGCATTTAAACCATCCCAAAAGCATACAAATCAAACTATTCAACTTTTAATTAATAGTCAAAAAATTGATCAAGTAAAAGAAACAGTTTTCCTGGGAGTAATCATGGATGAAAATTTAAATTGGAAATCTGAAATCTCACATGTCGCCAATAAAGTTTCTAAATGCACAGGAATTATTCGTAAATCCAGTTTCTATTTATCCACGAAAACCTTACGAACACTATATTTTTCTCTAGTCTATCCATACCTTTTTTACTGCAACTTAGTTTGGGCCTCTACTTACAGAACTAACCTTATTCGTCTTGAGATTTTACAGAAACGAGTGATCAGAACTATAGCTAAAACCACTTTCGATGCACATACTGATCCAATCTTTCAAAATCTTGGTATCTTAAAATTTCATGATATATACTTAATACAACTAGGCTTATTCATGTACTCCTATCAAAACCATACTCTACCTTTAAAATTTCATTGTAAATTTACCTTACAAAGGCAAATTCATTCGTATAATACAAGAAACTCGTGTAAATTTCGTCTGCCTTTCTGTCGTACTCGAACCAAGCAATTTTCCACTTTTTATCATTAGGACCTAAATTTTACAACACCTTAAACACCAACATCATCAACGCTTTCTCACCTTTCTCCTTTAAAAGAGCACTTAAGGCATTTATTTGTAATAATTATTAGTATACTTCAACAAAAATCTTGGGAAAAAGCCTTTTAATATTCAACATTTGTAAACTTCCGTAATAGTGATTAGTTTAATTTTTCACCTGATATTATATTGTACCCGTCGCCGTAATTTTTATGCCATCTTCGAAAAATTGTAATTGAGGAGGCCTAATTAACATAAGCTCTGTAGTTTCTTTTAGGCCTCCTCGCCATCTCTTGCTACATTTTTTTTTTTCTTTTGGCATCTTTAAGTAATTATTGTAATTGTGTGGCAAATAAATAAAATACCTAAATACCTAATAATTAACAGACAAAATGTTTTTCCTTTAGTAGTCCAGTGCTTTCAGTCAACCTTGGCTTCTTTTTTCCTTAATTGAAGTAATCAAAAGGAGACACTATCATGGAAGCTAGCTCCTTGTTGATCAAGCAGTTAGTTGCTCCACTCAAACCAGTGAAAGGAAGAAGAGGGAGCAGTGTCAGCTTTAAACTCAAAACCTTTCTTGAAATTTTTCCCTCCATGCATGCTCAAATTTTAGAAGCTGTAATTTAGCAGCACAAACATATGCCTTGGCCTGTGGTTGATCAAAACATAGCTTCCCTAGCTTCAAACCTCATTTTTCTTTTTCTTATTTTTGTCTGTTTTCATTTTAAAATATACCATGTGAGTGGGTTAAGCCATGATAAGCCATGATATCTAAAGCCATATTAAGCCATGATTAAGCTATGATATCTAAAGAAGAAATTAGATGCTGACCATTCTTATTAGGGGTTAAAGGGTTAAACTTCCATGACAATAATGTAGATTCTTTGCTGTAGATTGTTTTAGAGTAGATTTTATTTTTTGTAACTGGGTTTTGAAGTAAAGGCTAACACTTAATGAGCTCTTAATTCATACACAAATACCCTGTAATTGGGTTACTCTCAGGGTTAAACTTAACAGTCTTTCAAGGAATTGGGCCCAGCTGGCCCAAAATTGTCTGGTGTTAATTTTTTGTTTAAAATAATTTATCTGTGCTGGAAACTATTTTACTCTTAATAGGCCATTGGGTGATTCCAGAAAATATCCATACCATACTACTGACGGCTTCCATATTTTACCCCCTCCCCCTTGCCTTCAGAATTTCCAAATTGCATTATCCCCCCCAATGTCCTCGGAATTCCATTCCATTCCCCTCCCTTGCAGATTTCCATTTTTTAGTCAAATCCTTTGCAAATACCTGTATGGTTCCCAAATATGCCCAAATTGGCTTATTTTACTTCAAAGTATTTCAAATGACTCAAACTACTTGTGTACTTCAAAAATAAGAATATCTTGTGATGAACTTGTGTCTGCAATCGCAAGATATTAGTCATTACGATTGAGAATATAATTTGTTATTTCTGCCGTCTTGAATTTGAGCCTCCTTTGTCAGCAGTCGCTCCCAATCCCACAAGCTTCAAAATTTTACATGGCGTCCTCAGTCAGAAGACCTACATATTTTGCATTAAGTGGACAAAAACTTTATGAGACTGTTTTCCACGGGAGAAGAAAGGATGTTTCGTAGCATAAAGGCCTCTAAAACTTGATGTACAATTCAAGCTTTTTTGGTTTTCTTCTACAAATGAACACAAAAACATCACTGATCAATCAGGGCTCAAAGTTTAAATTTGAGTTTGGGAACACTTGTGCTACCAGATGTAAATTTTTAGGCGCACTGCCGAAATTTTAGGTGCACAGCTGAAAATTTTAGGGGCACAGTTTATAATGTTGGGAGCATCTATTTCAAAAGAAAAAGTAAAAAGCTTAACAGTGCCTCGTTTATTTGTCATCTCCAGTTTGTTACTTTTACTTCAGTCCTGTGATTGATAAAACACAGCCGATTTGCTACGCAGTAATACTGTTGTGATTTTTAGTACTAATTTCTCTTTTTGACAGTACTGCTGTGACTAAAGAAAATTTACACTCGAAAAAAAATTCAAAACTGACAACGAGTGTGTCGAACGAGAATGAAAGTTAATCTTTAATGAATTTGTTAAATGCGCAATGACTTACTTGTACCTGGGATATGACTTAAAAACTTTCTTACCTGGAAAAAAGGCTCTTAATCCGCACTGTTTTTGTTTTGATTGACCTTAAAACTGATCGTTCGACACGATCGTCCATTGCGCAAAAAGCATGTGTTTCATTCGTAGCATATATTTGCATGTGTCAGCGGTGTTTATTACAAAACAGAAGAGTCTGGGATGGAGTAAAACATCGAAACAAAAAAGAACATTCAAGTTCGTGGAATCCATTGGGAGAAAAGACCAATTAAACATACACCGTCTTTCTAGTTCGAGTTCGTAAGTATAGTCAGAAGCAAGTCAGTCACACTGTGCTTTGGGTTTTATGACGCACAGGTGCGATTACACATGAATTTTTAGGCGCCTAACCAAAAATCCAGTCGCATATGCTACCAGTTAGTCGTTAACTTTGAGCCCTGTCAATGGATGCCTGTCTTGTCTGTTGGCGGTGTCGTCAGTTCATGCTTCATTTGCGAACTGATTAAATCCATAAAATAAGCGTTTTCAAGGAATACATACACTCTTGTCTGTCCCCTGTGGAAATTCTAGACCCCAACTCCCCCCCCCCCCCCCCCCATGCCTTCGGAATTGCAGTTGTAAGTATCCCTCTGAATTCGAATGCCTTCGGATTTCCAGTTCAAAGAACCCCCCTTGACCTGGGAATGCCCATTAAATGTGACAACACTTGCTTTTGTTAATGAAAAGAACAATGGCTTTACAACATAATTATAGCCAAGAAAAACACATTTTTGTTTAGTTATAGGTTTTGTCCAATTTTTACCCCATGGCAAATTTTGTCTATTGCACCTTTGTAGATTGTCCCATCTTAACAAAATTTGTAAAAACTTGACAAACTGTCTGCATTTGTTAAGCATTGATGATGACAGAAAATCTGCCCAAATAAACAGCATTTTTGCCTGAGTAGCAAGGCCCAAAGTGTAGATTAAATTTGCGTACAATACAATACAAGTCTTGTATTGGCATTCCTTTTGATTATGTGTTCACATAAATGTATCTTAGATTAAAGGCTCTACACCATTTATGACCTCCATTTACATGTTACTAGACAGGAAAACTTTGCAGAAAGTTTGGCTTATTAACTGGGCTGGCCTGTACTGCTTGTTTGCCCTGTCGTGTTTTATGACACGTAGAACGACAATAATTTTTCGAATTTCTGGTGAGGTCAAAATAGTGATGTTATACTGTCAGGCTATATTTTAAGGGGCAGGGGGATTGGGCGAGGGTTGCGTGAAAATAATGGTAAATCATTTTCTACTTGCTTATTTTTATTCATCATGGTGGAATTTAAAAGTTACCTCACAGCCCCGACTTAAAAATGGTACTCATTTTTCTTGTTACGAAAGCCTTCCAAAATGGTACAATGTTCAAATGAGTTTATGTATGTTTCACTCACATGCAATGGACAAGGTTTTATAGTAGCCTGAGTGCATACAGCCGCCCCCGGCCCTCCCCTCAGAAAAAAATCATCTCTTGGTAGCCCAGTTAAAATCGTCTTTCAGCGATTCTTGTTCCTGAGATTAACCAAAGCTTCTTTCTTGGAATCAACCCCATAGCGCTAATAATAAAGGTTTTATTAAACACTCTAAACAACAGATGTGTTTAGTTACAATGATATAAATTTAGTCATACAGATAATTAACTAACTAGGTAGGTAACTAACTAACTAACTAACTAGAGAACAAACATCTATTTACAAAAGTTCTTGAAACTCTCAGTTCTGACAGACGGGAGAATATAGTTATGACACCTCTTACATAACATAACCAAATATAGTTCGCTTCAGTGGCAGAAGGTCATCCAAAGCTGTTGTTGAATTGCTGTCGGTGATCTTGTCCCATAACTTCTTATCTTTCAGGGCAATAATATTTTCAATTAAAAAAAGTTCTTTACAGTAACCAAGCTTAAAAGTGGCCAGGTCCAGTCTGTGTTCTGTGGAAGTCAACTCACTGGCTACAGTTTTTGACAGCTAGCAAGGACTAGCACACCACATATATATATTATAAATATTATTATCATTTTAAAATTCTCTTTTTTATTTTCATTTAATTCATCATATAGGATCATCAAGATCTTCAGAGCATTCAACTAGCAGATCAGAGGGTAATGATGGCAATACAACCCAGCTTACCACCAGTTTTCCAGAGGATACTATGAGCAGATCAGAGGGCAGTGATGGTACTGCATTTCAGCTTACTGGCAGTCTCCATTCTTGTTCAAAAAATACTGCAGGGACCAAGCCCATTAGAGGCCCTCCTGAGCTTAATAAAGTTCTCCCATCCTTAGCTGACATTAACACAATAACCAAACCTTCAAAACATGCTGATCTCCCGGTTGATGTGTTGTTACTGACAGTGAAGAATTGTGAGTTCTTAGCTTGTTACAGTGAGCTTAAGAACCCCTATAGATGTTACTTTGATGGTTTTGGGTATGTTTACTTTTCTGATGTGGATGGAAGTCAAGAGAAAGTAAAAGTCGCATTATTAAAATGTTACGAGAACAGTAGTTGTCCTGGTGGTTCTCTCATCTCTGTTAAGAATGCTGCCACTGCACTAAGACCTAAAGCAGTTATATCTGTAGGAGCATGTAGTGGTCTTCACCCTGAGAAATGCAAGTTAGGAGATGTTGTTGTTTCTGCCAAATTAGCAACATATGCATCCAAAGTGGTGATCAATGATCAAGAGCAGTCAACTGGCACGAGAAATTATGTGAGCAAATGTTTCCTGGATATCATTAAGAATTGTGCTGATGGCTGGCAAGCACCAGTGAAGAACCTGGCTGATGCTCAACAAGTTCAAGTTTATACTGCTGCTGAGATTCTGAGTGGACCAGAACAAGTCATTTCTGGACAGCGACGTGATCAACTTGCTGAAACCAATCCTCAGGCAATAGCAATGGAAAACCAAGGAGAAGGTAGGCCGACTGCTTTTTTGCAGCCAGTCTTTATAAGAAGGTGCACACAGCCAGGTCAAGCTTTGCTTGAAGTGGAAAGAGACACAGTAGCATGCATCATACTGTCTTGTACTAGGAAAGCAAAAAATGTGTTTCCTTCAAAGCATCAAAAGGTCAGGAGTTTGGCACTTAAAGTCATGTCTGTCAGTTTCGTTGGGAAATCCCCTCGTTTTTGCTAGAGAAATAATTGTCATATTTCCTAAAACATTATGCGGCTAAATCGAATTTAGGCTAAGTTTAACTCTAGACATTGTTGGCCAGTTAAGTTGGTCTTTCAAATGAGAAGGCTCTTCAAGGACCCTGGGGAATTCACAGCTTCTCTGTTGAGGTCGTACCATTACATTCACGTAGCTTATTAATGTTGCTTGTATTGGTCAATTGTTCTGCTCCTTACCCTGCCTTCCCTTTGGTAAGTACAGTGGAACCCCGTTAATACTGTCACTAATGGGTCAAAACAATTTGGCCACATCAACGGAGTGGCTGTATTACAAGGGCACGGTCAAACTTCATGACTTGAGGACTGTAATGACAAGCACATCATACATTGCTGTCGCACTTCTTGTACAACTCTGTTCTCTGAAAGAAATAACAGGAATGTAGATATCACGTACCGTAGTTATAAAAACTACTTGAAACTCCGTCAGGACATAAAACAGTTTTTAAAAATCGGCTATTAGACCACCACAAAATACATTGTAAGTGACCATAGTTTAAAAACAGTAGAAAAACAAGCTCAGCTTAATTACTAGGTCAATGAAATTGACATATCACAGGCATTTCAATTTTCAAAATTTCTGACAAGTGGCCGTTTTGGTGGGGTGAAATATTTTATTGTAAAAGATGGTACTGTTTGGGATTTTAAAATATGGCAATTGGCCACATCAATGGGTGACTGTGTTAACAAGGTTTTTTCATTAGAAAATGTATGGCCATTTTGCCAGGCCAAAAATAACAAGGTGACTGTATTACTAAGGTGGCCATAAGGCGGGGTTCCACTTAATAAAATCTCCATTGGTTAGCTGTGAGATGGTGCCTAAATTATTGCCACTCGAAGGGTTGTCATGGTTATGAGCAGCTGCACTCGACTGCAGTTTCCTGGCTCCACAAGCCTTGCAAGCACCTCCACCCACACTCATCTTTGTTGATAAATTTAAATTACACTATAATGAAACTTATACAAAAATGGCTGCCAACATCTCCCACTGTCTGGTCAAGTTTCTTATTTTGCTGATGAAGACACTTAAATGAAACAGGACTTTTCCCAAAACTCATGTACTGTTTGTTTTGTTGTCCTACAGGAGTATTTACAGCAGCATTTGATTGTGGAATTGAGTGGTTAATTGTGGAAGGAATAGCTGACTATGCAGATGGTTCTCAGTTAGCTTCAGAGAGTTGGTCTTCCTGTGCCAGTGTGATGGCAGCATCTCTTGTTGCACACATGTTGAGTGAACCCCGTGTTTTCCATTCATGGCCTCATTATCAAGGTAATCATGCTATCATAAAGTGCTGCCACATCTTGGTATCTGATTTATTGAATCCATTGTTGGGTTCGTTCCATAGTACAGTCACAGATAAGCTACATGGTACATGCTATGGGGTGCATGCCATCCCAAATTCAGCTGTCCAACACTCATCACTTGTTCAAGTTGTTTAAGTTGAGATTCAAGTACTATAGTGAATGTGATACGTTTCTGTAAAATACCAAGAAGCATAAGAAGTGTGCATCGTATTATTTAGGGACCAGTACAATTTGAGATAATTTGCAGTATTTAGAAGCTATCATGATAGTCCGCATTATACCGTAAATCCTCTATTAAGCCCCCCTCTTCTCAAATAATCCCCGTCCCTCTTATAATCCCCCTCCCCTCCCCTTTATTATTCTTTACTAATAATTGATAGACCGTTTTAATCAATCACGACTGTGAAACTTCGTGTGGAATGATCCAGGATGGTTTCATACCAACTGGAAGTTGGATATGATTCTGATCCTCCGTGCATGACCTTAAGCCTTCTTGTACTTGAGTTTTTCCACTTAGTTTTGTAGTTCTCTATGGAGAGCTGCTACCTTCGTCTTTTCCAAATTAATTAAGCCCCCCTCCCCCCCCCCCAATCTCAAATAAGGAGGATTTACGGTAATGATATTTTGACATTTGATATGCATATTTTAGACAGTGGTGAAAATATTATTATTATCATCGTTTTATTCGTCATCGGTGAATCAATAAAATATCAATTTTGTTATCAAACTAATGAGTGTTTTTTCTTCAGAACCGCAACCACAAGAGTTAATCACCCACTATGATGAAACGTTAGTCGCTCCTTTCATCGAACGTATGAAGAAACATATCCGAGATGTCACTGAAAAACCTTACGGAGACCTCAAATCCCCTTTTCATAATCCAGGCGAAGGACCTAGAAGAGATCTAAAACTTGACGAAATCTTCACTAATTTGATTGTTTATAAAGGGAGAGCTAAGTATGACTTTTCAGGAGACAGAGTGAAACAACTAAACGAGTACCACAAAGGCAATGACAGTTTACGACCAACACCGCCAGGAGATATTTTTAATGCTAAAGAGCAGAAGATTCTTGTTGTCGGTCGCCCTGGAATTGGGAAAACCATGTTTAGCACAAAGATTCTTCGCAACTGGGCGTCCGATAACCTTTTCAACGAAACACAAAAATCGCAAGTCGATTTTAAAGTTGCGTTTCTCATTAAGCTGAGAATGTTTAACTCTAGAAACCAAGAACTAAATCTTCGCGAGATTCTGGATCACTCAGAGTATTCAACCGCTCTTTCCGAAGAGCTCTGGAACTACATCCGCCACAACCCAGAGCGAGTACTGTTGATTTTTGATGGATTTGACGAATATTCTGGTAGGACTAAAATAAGTAAAGATGACATTCCGTACAGAAACAGTGAAGAGGAAAGGATGCCTGTTTATTTCCTTATGAAGAAAATAGTACAGGGAAAAATTCTTACCGGTGTGACAATCCTAACGACTACAAGACCCAATGCCGTGTCATGTATCACAAGTCTTCACTTTGACAAAACAGTTGAAATTCTGGGATTCTCAACTGAGCAAGTAAATAATTATGTAGAGAAGTTTACAAAGGAGGCGGACAAAGCGGAAACCATAAAGCAACACATCACCAGTAACTTAAACCTTGTAGCCTTCTGCTACGTTCCTGTTAATTGCTTTATCATTTGTAGTTGCTTGTTAGAGCTGCTTGGTAACACTGGCTTTACCAGCCTCCCGACGAGACTGACAGAAATATACTCAATTGCTCTAAGGATGTTTTACTTTAGCTACGATGATGATCAATATCGCCTCAATAAAACTGAAGGTCAACAGTATTTTCTTAAGCCGTTTAAGGAACTGCCTTCCTCTGTGCAAAATGTGTTCACACGACTGGGAAAAATTGCTGTTGACGGAATTAAAAACGGAAGACTAACTTTTGAATCACACGAAGTTAACGACCTAAAGGGTAATGGCCTGTTTCACCGTTTACCTGATTTTAGAGACCGTCCTTTAGCAGAGGGAAGAGCGCAATATTGCTTTTTACACCTGACCTTACAGGAGTTCTTAGCGGCGAAGTATTTGGTAGACACGTTGAGTTCCGAACAACTGCGGGGTTTTGTTTCCGATCACATCAAGGATGGCGCGTGGAAGGTTGTGATGCAGTTTGTGGCTGGACTGCTGGCTGAAAAAGAAGGACAATCAACAGATATTTTCAGCGACCTTCTTCCCTCAGAAACTGTTACTGGATATGTTGCCATCAAGATGAATGAAGATTCAGAGGAACGAACTGAAACACTGACCTGTTGGCCAGCTCCTGAACACAGGTTATTAGTGGTGACGCTATTCAATTGCATGTATGAGAACAAAGCCTCTGATCGAGAAGTTCAAAAGAAACTGGCGAAAATTGGTTGTAATGCGCTTCATTTTTTTGATTGTAACCTGTCACCTCTCGACTGTTTAGCATTAGTGCATGCACTTAAATCTGTTGAAGGAATTTTGCATTTTGATTTATACAGAAACAACCTTCAGTCGCTAGGATGTATTGAGATTGCGAAGTTGTTACCTGGCAACCGACACAATCAGGGTTTTTGCGAACTAAAAAGATTAGACCTCAGGCGTAACAACATAACTGATGAAGGAGTAAAACATTTAGCTACAGCACTCACACACAATAAGTG